ATGCTGTAAAGCGAAACAAAAAGAAAGCGCAGCAACCTTGCGCATTACCTCAGTAAAGTGTGATTTTATTGAATTTAAAATATACTCACAAACATAGAAGTGTAACAAGCGTGTAAAGTCCTAAGCGAGACTCAAGGAGTCTGAGACCAGCACGAGTCTTATCACGAGGGAAGATTCTCAAAGTCAGGCTGACGTGTTTCGAAGGGAGTCCCTTCTTCATCAGAGCTCTGATTGTTTTGCTTTACAAAAATACAATGATTGCCATGGTCTTCCAAGTCCTTTGCTGAGCATCTGTCCTTCTGTATAGTGAACATGGGGGTTGCTTGTTCGGCACGGCAGTTATTCACCAAATGTCTTGCATTTTTTCAATAGACACACGTAGGGATGCACAAATACCAATACTGGTATCAGTGCCAATGCCGAGTATTTTTATGAGTACACGTCAGGGGCGGACTGACCATTTGGAAACTCAGGCACTGCTTGAGGGCCGGGGGTCAGTTGGGGGCCCCATGAGATGCCCCTGGTACCTTTTTCATAGGCTTTTTTGAGTTTGGGCAAGGACACAGGGGCCTCATGATCCCCTATTGCTCGGGGGCCCCATGAGTTGTCAGTCCGCCCCTGGAACAGAGTTAGTAAAGGTATCTGCTCCTGAGCAGTCCATAGGGCCTACTTAGCCATATCCAATCACCTTGAACAAGTGACCAGCTAATTTTTTCCTTCTGGAGGTGATAGGACATACTGTGCAAGGTGGAAATTATAAGTGTTGATGGTTTTAGCAATAGGCGGTGCTTGTTAGTTGAAGTAGAATAGGTACTATGTCTATGTCTATTGCCCGGGGGCCCCATGAGTTGTCAGTCCGCCCCTGGTACACGTACTCGTGAAAATACTCCGGATACCTTAACTGATATTTTGCGGTGCAATTTGTGTGTTAATGGATGCAAAATGCACCACAAACAGCATGCGATTTGAACAGGAATGCGATTCCTGTCCAAATTACTTACAGTTTCCCCACTGCTCCTGTCTGAACTCAGGCTTGTCATAGCCGAGTTCACACAGGAGCAATGCGGGAAACCTCTCTATTGGCATCCCATGCTGAGTCTCAGTGGTAGGAGAGAAGAGAAAGTATCGAAGATTTGAAATCCCTGCCACTTTCTTTCCTGTCCTTGTAGCGATGACAGTTCACTGCAAGGAGAGGAAAGAAAGCATTGGGGATTTCAAATCTCCACCACTTTCTCTCCTCTCCTTCCACTGAGACTCAGCATAGAATGCCTGCAGGAGGTTTCCTGCACTTCCCGCTTCCCGTGAACTTGGGCTATGACAACCCTAGATTCATACAGGAGCAGTGGGGAAATCGCAAGTGATTTGGACAGGAATCAAATCGCATGCTATTCTTTATGGTGTCATTTGCATCCATTGGTGCAAATCGCCCTTCAAAGTATTGGTAATCAGTATAGGTGAGTACTTGACCGAAAGTATCAGTACTCGTACCAGGGGTGGACTGACCATTTGGGAACTCAGGCACTGCCCGAGGGCCCGGGGTCAGTAGGGGCCCCATGAGAGGCCCCTGGTACCTTTTCTTAGGCTTTTTTGGGTGTGGTGGTTTGAGTGTGGGCAAGGATACAGGGGCCCCATGATCCCCTGTTGCCCGGGGGCCCCATGAGTTGTCAGTCCACCCCTGACTCATACTCGTTGATAAAAACACGGTATCAGTGCATCCCTGAATACGAGACATTCTCTGATTAGATAAGGTGGAGAGGCAAAACATCTCCAGCTACTGTTTGTTCAATCAGAAAACACCTTGTATTCATTGAGAAAAATTTGAGGCATCCTGTGAATAGCAGCCATGCCGAGTGGGTGGCCTTTTGTTCACTATGCAGAAGGACAGCCACTTCACTTGACACATACACAGCTCATTGTACATTCTGGGGACAACTGCAAGCAGGCAGGTAGGTTTATTTTATTAGTCATGAGACATTGCATATCTCCTTTGCTATAAACAGCCTGCCTACTCACAGTTTAAAAAAAATATATTTTAGATCCGCTTTAAAAATAGAGCATATCAAATATGTCATCCATCTATGAGGTGGCCTATTGAGATATTTGGTCATCTATGAGGTGACCTCAGATGTAGGACTTGTTTAGCATTTCCCATCTCCTTGACATTGCATGGAGCAGCAGCACTATTGGATTGGATGGATAACATATTTGATATGCTATTTTTCAAGTTTCCTTTGTGAGTATGAGAAATATTTTTGATAACGTTTTAACCAAAGATTCTGTACAAAACCGGTGTGCTCTTCTTTTTGTTTTATAGCGTTGTTTGAAGAGTTCCCAGTCTGGAGAGAGCTGCAAAGCCAAGGATATTAATAACTCTATTGACAGTCCCATTGGATTATATGAAGGACTTGGAAAACATTACACAAGTGCGATTGTATCCTTTTAGCACCTGAGTGCTGGTAAGTTTTATATACATTTCATGTACTATATTTTCCTGCCTTAGATCAAGAATTACATATCACAAGCTTCTCTCTGGTGTTACTTCCAGGTGTGAGGCGATTTTGACAAAAATGGACCCATTCGTCATTTGTCTATCTCAGCTATAATGATGAGAATGAGGAGATGCAGAAGGATGTTGACAATATCTTTAGGAGTATTTTGTCCTAACACCTTCTGTGATAAATTCTATGTTCTTGATATTATTAGAAAAAGATTTTTGATCTTCTGTGTGTATGCAAAGATATAAGAATCTTCAGCACAAAGAAGCCATGCAGTCTCTGCCTTTGTGATCCTGCTGTTTTCCTCTATTGTATAATGAAAAATGTATCATACTTTACAACACATTGATTTAGAGTGGCTCCATTGACTTGCTGTGTTCTGTGCTGCCACCCTTATGTGAGCGCTCCCAACCGAGAATATTAAGTGTAGCGCACCCCCGAAGGAGGCACAGATGATAAGCTGAAATATTCCCCCAAATTGTAGTGCAAATACAGCCAGACATACAGCATTTCCTCAATGGATTAATAACTTGTATGGGGTGAGGAGAAGCATGGGATACCCCAACAAATCTTTGTTTGATCGTGGACACTGCTCTTTACACCAGGGGTGTATTTACCAAACAAGACATTTGCCTAGGGCAGTATTTTTCAGGGGGGGCAGAACTGCCCCTTGGAAGAAGGGGCAGAAGAAGGAATTCACACGGCATGGGGACCTGGTGGGTTCCAAGAGATGCTGTGGGTTTCATGACAATGTATGCACAGCCCGATTCTTGTTCCTGAGGATGTCCGGAGTTGTGAAGGTGAGTGTCTTTCTCTCTCTCGTCATGGGGGATCGTGTCTGGTGTATGGGGGGCAGTGGTAGTGGAAGGCTCGGGTGGAGGGTAGGGGTGTTCTTGGTCAATGTCAGGCTCTTTCTGTGGGAAAGGGGAGAGGGTGCACCAATGTTTGTGTTGCCTAGGGCACCACAAAACCTAAATACACCACTGCTTTACACTGTTCTGATAGAGAATTCCCACAAGATTCACTACTGGCTGAGAAATGCTTAAGACTTCCTTTTAAAGAACTGAGAACTGTACACAATTAAGAGGGCACAGAATTTAGGTCAGTACTCACAATGCCACAGGATCATTGTTTGCCTCTCTCTTATATTAACTGGACACTCTTCAGAGAGGGAGACACAGACCTACAAGACGAGACGTTTGGGATAAAATCCCCAGCTTGGACTACAGCTGGGACCTCAATGACATCCAAGCAACGTCTCCAGCAGACTGCTCTATGGGGCAGAGCCCCTAGGAAGGGGACTCCTCCTGCAAGACTGGACCCAGGATCCACCCACCCATGTTCCAGGCCTCATATGGGTTTTCCAGCCACTTAATGGTCACACCTTGCCAGAGATTGGCTAGGTTCCCATAAATATTCAAGTTGCCCCTCTGTCTTTCTTCCCACTGTGATTCTAGAATCCTCCAGAATGCAGGAGAAAATAATCAGATCAGCAGTCTATGAAACATTGAACAGACTAGAGTAATCAACCACTATTTCTCTGACTACAGAGAAGTTAAACTAAGTCTGCCTAGCAATCTGCACTAACTAGGAGGGTGCTATATAAGGTTAGAAATGAGGGACCGCTATTAGGTCATACATGTGCAATATGCCTCGTGCAAGTAATCACGGGACATTTTGTCTTGATGCAGAAAGCCATCTGATGCTACTAGGCAAACATACAAGTGCAGAGACTAAGGGGAGGACAGGCCGAGCATGAAGCATCATGTTAATAAAACATGTTACTACTTGAGCTGGGCTAATAATACATCTTTCTCAAGTACATTGAGGATAAAGAGACATTTATACATTTGTACATTGATGATAAATACAGCCATTTATATAAGGACTTGTGGGGTCCTGATCAAAAACATAAAAGCAAATAAATAAAAGAGGCCCAGGGACCAATCGACTATTTTGCTGTTAAGCTAAAAATGCATGGCAATGTCACTTACTAAGGAAAGTGCCTTAGCTCCTTTGGATCCATTGTGCAGCAGGGTACGTGTAGGGTGGTAGTTTCTAACAGATGGGACCATAGATGCGGCACCATATTTTATCCAGCAGCAGTGATACAAGATACTGCTACCATTCCACTTCTGCTCCCCTGCCGCTGGATAAAAATGGTGCCACATCTATGATCCCATCTAAAGCCCGAAAAAACAGCACAACAACTGGCCAGAGCTGATGGCCCTGCTGGCCATAGGGAGCTGTTGGAATCTATTGCTCTGAAGGAAGCCTGCCGCATTACAGTAATGAATTAAAGTGTTACTAAACCCAGAACCCTGCATTCACTATATCTGGTCTCCCACAGTACACACAAAATGGAACTATTTTAGTAAATATAAACTGCTAAGTATCTTTTCTCATCAGCAGCATATAACAGTCTTGTGACTTCTATCACGGTCCGGCCAGCACTAGTTAAAGCTTGTGGGAGAAGTTTTCACTCTCCTCTGTGGCTGCATAACCCCCCTCACCCTCTATCTGGCCAGTGCTGATTGGCCCTGTGCTGGCCACATGCACCCTACCAAACCAAAGAAAAAAAAAAAAACTCTAGCAGTTCACCAAACTGAGCATGTGCAGAATGACTCCTAGAGCTCTGGATGGATGGATTGGGGACAGTAGAAGAAGGGGAGGATCAGAGAAGACAGGATAAAACAGCCTTTTTACACAGTGCAAAGGATTAACCCCTTAGGTTCCATGGTGAGTATAACAAGCATGCTTTACTGCATATACAGTACAAACTGATTTTACTGTTGGGGGTTTAGTAACACTTTAAAGGATAAATTCACCTTTTTACAAAAAAATTATAAATGCACATTTTTTTACAGGTACACAGTGCAGAGGATTAACCCCTTAGGTTCCACAGTGAGTATAACAAGCATGCTTTACTGCATATACAGACTGATCTTACTGTTGGGGGTTTAGTAACACTTTAAAGGATAAATTCACCTTTTTACAAAAAAAAAATAAATGTAAATTTTTTTTTGCAGGTACAAAAATATTCATTTATTATTTTTGCAGGAGACTCTGAAGCATTGCACCAGCGATTAGCAGATCGCTGGTGCCATGCAGGTCTCCTGCAGACCTGTCAGTATATCTGTTTGCCTGTAGGGAATGTACGAGGAAGCAGATATACTGACAGGAAGACTCACAGGGTTTAGTAATGCTTTAACTACTTCAGTTATTTCAGTAAGAGACACTGTCGTCCATTTTTTTGCTTAACCTCTTGCCGTTTGCCTGCTGTTTATAAACAGCAGGGCGGTGGCAGTCCAGGGGCGGGTTGCCGTTCATAAACGGCACCCGCCTTTTCTAGCTGTGCACGCTCCCTGGGAGCGCGCACCACCGCGATCCGGTGCCCGCTGTGTCCTCCAGACACAGTGAAACACCGATCGTCGGACGGGACCTCTGTACGAGGTCCCGATCATGTGATCACTGATTGGCGAATCAGTGATCACATGCAAAGTAGTAAGCAAGATGTCACTTGTGACATCATTGCTTACTATGTGTGAAATCTGTGAATGATCACAGAGGTCACATGGTACAAGGCTATTCACAACAGGCTTGTACCATGTGACAAGCTGTGACCACTCACAGCTCACTCAGTAATTCTCAATGACTGCAAGAATGCAGACAGAGAGAACGAGAAATGATTGCTTTTACATCCTATATGGGTGTAAAAGCAATCAGTGTAAAAAAAAAAAATCTCCATCACTCCCCACAAGTAGTACAGTGTCACCATGGTGACACTGTACTGCTAGGGTGACAGTATGTAAAAAAAAATAAATAAACAATATAAAAAAAAATAAAAATGTAAAAAAAATGTTTAAAAATTATAATTTTTGGTTATAAACTAATTTGGATTTTTTTTTTACTAAAAAAATAACGGAATACATTTTGGCCAAGATTTATGATGAAATATTATTTATTTGCAAAATTTTATTAAAAAAAAACACTTTTTTTCAAAATTTTTGGACTTTTTCATTTACATAGTAAAAAAAATAAAAATCCCAGTGGTGAATAAATACCACCAAAATAAAGCTTTATCTGTCTCAAAAAAATGGTAAAAAATTCATATGGGTACAGTATTGCATGACCACGCAATTGTCATTCAAAGTGTGATAGCGCTGAAAGCTAAAATTTGCCCTGGACAGGAAGGGGGTAAAAGTGTCCGGACAGGAAGTGGTTAATAAAAAGATAGTTGATGTATGGTTCTTGTGCCCTCTCTTATATATTTGTTTTTATGCGTGAAGCATCATGGGACCTGTAGCCCCTGTAGACCCAAAGCAGGAGACCATCTGATGCTACAGTGAGCGCTCCTCAAGCTGGAAGTTCTGGGAAGTGTTGCTCTCTGATTTGGAGGTGGTAACATACAAAGGTACAAAATGTGTGTTTCTCTTGTACATTACGTACATCAAATGTGATGCGATGTCTCCCTGGTCGGTCAGAATGCAATCATTTGAAAAAAATTGGAGCATTAAATACTATTTTAATGAACACATCATGATTTTAACTGTCAGTCTTATTTTGTGCAGTGAATGTTCATAATAACGTGGCATTTACTATTCCAAGATGACACCTAAGTAAATGATTTTTATAGAAGTAAAGGTCAGGCGTTTTCAGGTGACATAGAAGTCGGAGCCTTTCAGGCCCTTTAAAGCTGCAGTGACAATCATGAGTGTAGCAGTGGGGGGGTACAACAAGCTGTGAGGAGAGGCAGACACCCAACATATCCGGGAATACTGAAAGATGAAGAGTCTATTAGAAGCTCCAACTCTGCAAGAGAAGAAATTTTGAATTCAATGGGGTTGCTAATGGTTGCAATTTTATTTTCCAAAGCATGATTTGATTAAACTGCTTAATTGTAATGACATGTCTTTTTCATCTACACCAGATTTCAGAGATGTAATCACAGACAGCTTCTGTATCTGCCCTGTCAATACAACAATATATCAAATAAAAAAGAACACAGATGCAGTGTACTAGGAACATCACCAGGTGTTTCTCTGTGTTTCATAATTGATAGCTACTTTCTCAAGGATTCTCTGTCTATAAAACAATTGATGGAAATGCATCTCTATCCTTGGACTTATTTAAACGGCAATTGTAGGGAACAAGAGAACTCAAATAACTATAAGGTGATCTTTACACTTTTCCTGCTCAGCAGTAGCTTCCCATACAGGAGTGTATTTATAAAAACAATTGCAGAGCTATTCATCTTGTGAAACTGCAAGTACATCCGTTCTGTGTGAATGGGGGCAAAAAAACAATGTTTCTGGGCTATTTTCTCTACAGCTCGAATGGTATTCTCCCTACAGAATAGAGTGAATCAGGAAAGTACTGCATTAGGGCCACTAGATGCTGATGATCATAGCAAATTAGTATTTATCTCCTATGCTCCATTTATTGGGCATTTATTAATTACTGGTATTCTTATAGCACCAATGTACATATATTGTATATTCACATCAGTCCCTGCCCTCAAGGAGCTTACAATCTAAGGTCCATAACTCAAATTCATACATCTATTAAGGCCAATTTAGACCGGAGGCAAATAACCTATGTTAGAGCTGTATCAGTCTGGGTGTGCAGTGTCTTTCCATATTCCTGTTCTATAGATACCATTGTTGCCAAAGGGAATATTCTATTAATTACAGTACACTATTAATTATGGTACACCTTCTTTACTGTATAACAGAAGTCTTTGCTAAGAATCCTCTTTCAGAGAGTTCAGTGCCAGAGTTAGTTTATCTAACAATGGGACAAACCTGTTGGCTTCACAAATATGCACCTCAAAGGATATCTCATTTAGATATGTAATGAAGGTGGCCAACCGTTCATGAATACTTAGTTTCCCAGGAAAAGGTCATGAACTTGCATGCTTAAATTCCATAAAGGGTGGGCAAGATTTGCCTTAAAGGGGGTTGGTGTATGCTAAATACAGGGGATTTGAAGGTAGCCAATTATGAAATAGAATAGATTTGTCAACCAATCAGAGATATTCCATGAAAGTTAATGAAGGAGAGGCCTATAACTATGGACACTAGTGAGAGAGGTTCTCTTTGGAACACCAGAGGAAGGGAATGGAACTTGTACGTCCAGTTGCATGGTAATTATGGAATATATCCCTTGCACGTATATCTAAATGTTTGTCATGTCTTTTCTGTCTCACTGTTTGTATTTTGTAATATGTTCAAGCTTTCTTAATAATGTTTCATTTATGTAATTAGATAGATTGTTTGTGTTAGTTTAGACCTCCAACCTATTCACCAATAAATTTTTGTTGTATTAAACCTTTCACTTTGGGTAAGAACTTAATTTACCAAATCATATCAGAGAAATAATATATTTCGTAATCTATAGATTTGGTCAACACCTACCAGCATGTCTTTGGAGAGTGGGAGGAAACCCATGCAGGCACAGAGAGAACATGCAAACTCCAGGCAGGTAGTGCCATGGGTGGGATTTGAACCAATGACTCTAGTGCTGCTAGGTGGAAATGCTAACCACTTATGTAAACCACTTAGCCTCTGTGCTGCCCATCATGCTGTTTTTCCTAGTTCACTCAATTCTGTATGAAGAACATTTAACCCGGACAGAGTCTTGTCACTCTTCACTCTTCCTACAAACTTGGCACTAAGAATTGACATGCTCCTCTCAGAAACTCCACAGCCACCTCAGATAAAATGGAAGATACACTTCTATTTGAGCTATTGTATAAAGACAACCATTATACCCACAAGCTACAGGGCATACCAGGCATTGCAGAAACAGTCTTCCATTTCATTGTTACTTGCTTGAGGATGGTACTCATCCACGGTATACAATGGGTTTACGACCTCTGCCTCTTGGTCATACCACTGACCAGCTCCCTCAATTCCCAACACATTTGAAAAGAATTCAGTCTTCTATATTTCCTTTATAGTATTCCTAAAGTAACCTTTATGCACCCATTAACCACTGCTGCACATTTCAAAATGAAGAATCAATAAATGCCACTCTGTAGCATCCTAAATCAATAATAATAAAAATAAAACTCACCTTACATTTGCTATTCCACCTACACCAATAACTAAATGCCTAATTATGTAAAAGCATCTACTATTCTACTATTCAAAACAACATCACTACACATGGATGATCTATATCCTGCAAATTATAAATAGGAAGACATTTTAAAATGCACACGTAATCTTTTACGATGCAACATTCCCAGTCTAAACATCCCTTCACTTTCTATTTGATTAGGAAGTTTATTTGGGTCTCCACCTCTCCACTTAACCTTAACCCGCTGATAGCTGTAAATTTCAATTCACTGGGATCATGATTGCCATCTAAAGTAATTGGGAACACCATAATCCAACTTTTCTTTTTTTTTTTTAATTTCAGTCTGTTTATTGACATTTTCTAGGAACGGGAAAAACAGACACTCATCTGTGGACATGTAATAGATATTCTGTCATAGTTTCTTTAGTTTTATACATTTCAATAAAGATTAAAGATAATTTTGTCAAACTACAAGTATATATAGTTACATTATCCAGATATGTGACAGTGCTATCTTAGAAAGATTGTTATCAGTATGTCCTATAATTATACATTCCGGTTCTTTTCATATATAGACTTTCCTATTCCACATCATAATTGAGCAAATGAGAGAGTATGAAACAAGCTAAATTTACCAGCTGAAATCACTGCATATTAAATATGAAGGAAAGCAAAGAGGTAGAAAAGAAGTGAAAGAAAAAAGGTGTAGGTAATAGTAAACAGGGTCAGTGTCCCTGAGGTCTTGCTAGTTTTTTGTCTTTCCTTTCTTTGCAAATGTGTTCCACCAATTGCATCACTACAGTGAGTATTATGTGTCTGACATATTGCATATTGTCTGACATATTGCAGCCTGCACCTATATTCAAGGAGGTAAACTAAATCTTTTATA